CTCACTGTGATCATCCTTTCAAAGACTCAGTCGCCAGCTGAGCCATTACTTTCCCTCCAGACACATCTTAGCTCATCTCCTAACTGTGATGCCTGGTATTGTCCTGTTCATTCCAAAGCTTTTTCTGATCCCTCTTTGAGTTCTTCTTTGACCAACTTGTTGTTTAAGAATATTTCATCTCATTTCTAGTTTTTTTAGTCTCCCCAATTTCTGTTATTGAATTCTAACTAATACACTCTGCATTAATTCTCTTCTTTTGATTTTATTGAGGTTTGTTTTATAGCCTAACATATGCTCTGTTGTTAAAATTCTCTATGTGTACTTAAGAAAAACGAGTAACCTACTTGGATAAGTGGGGTGTTTTATTCATGTGTTAGGTGTAGTCGATTACTAGTGTTGCTCAAGTATTTTCTTCCTGATTGATCTTCTGTCCAGTTATCCCATCTTCACTGAAAGTAATATGGGGCTGGGGAGTTGGCTCAGTGGTTAGGAGCACTGGCTGCTCTTGCAGAGGACCTGTGTTCAGTTCTTAGCGCTCACATGATAAACTGCCTACAACTGCCTATTACTCTAGCTCCAGGGGATCTGATGCCCTCTTTGGGCCTCCTCCAGTGCATATGAACTCAATGAGCATACACACACACAAAATTAATTAATTAACTAATTTTTTAAAAAGTAGACGACTAAGTGGGCAGCGTTAGTGCATACCTTTAATCCCAGCACTCACCATCCTGAAAACAAAATAATCCCAGCACTCAAGAGGCAGAAGCGGGCAGATTTCTGAGTTCAAGGGCAGCCTGATCTACAGAGTGAGCTCCAGAACAGCAAGAGCTATTACACAGAGAAACCATGTCTGGGGAAAAGGGGTGGAGTAGGGGACTTAAATGTCTATGTTATTATTTTACTATATTCCTCCCTCCTATTCTGTCAGTTTTGCTTCTCGTGTTTCGCTGTCACGCTGTTAGATACACACATGTTCATCACTGTGTGTCTTCCTGATAGATTGGTCCTCTTACTATTGTTAACTATTCTTCATCTCTAGCAACCTTTATTGCTGTGAAGTCTATTTGGGGCTGGAGAGATGGCATAGGACTTAAAAGTACTTGTTCCAAAGGATCTGTCTTTGGTTCCCAGCACCCACATGGTTGCTCACACTACCTGTAACTCCAGCTCCAGGGGATCCAACCCCCTCTTCTAGCCTCTGCAACCACCTTCCCACAGGTAGCCTCCATATGCACACACACACACACAAACACACACACACACCCGCACTCATGCACACACGTGCACACACACACACAAAGGTAAATCTTTTTGAGATCTGTTTTGTCTGATGTCACAGACACTCAGGTCATGTGACAGCTGAAAAAAACTGCTTGAACTAACAAACACTTGGCGGACAGTATAAGTCTGTGAAGAATTTGCCTCCTTTCTTTGACTTGGTTATATTAACAAATAAGTTTCAGCAAACCACCCAGAGTGTTAGATATAATCCACAGCATGAAAGCCTGTGTAATGTAGAGCAGCCCGTGCCCGGGGGCAGACGTCTTCGTGGGGTTGACTTGTGTTTATCCTCTCCAGTTCCTCAATAAATGAACACCTTCCTTGTTAATCCCCCAGAGTCCCCGTGACCCGGACTTGGCAGAAAATAAAAATGAAAAGAGAGATAATCAGGAAAAGTCCCACACGCATCTTTAAAATGTGTGCCCGCTAGATGCTTCTGAACCGGCTCTAGAGTCAAAGAAAAAAGGGCTTTTAAAATGTGTGTGTTGGGGGGGGGGTTCATTCATTTGCAGTAGTGCCAGTTAGAACTGGAGTCAGAATGACATTCTCTGCACTGTGTGTCTTCATGTGTCATCACGATTACAGGTCTCAAAAGGAAAAACAACTATTAAAACCAGACAGTGTCGCTCTTAGCAAGCATCTCTGTGTGAGCTCTCCCGCCTACTTATACTGAAGAGTGACAGCCCAGGTCCTCCCCCTGGGTGAGAGGTCCCATGTGCCCTGCCAGGCTTCTGTGCTGCTTTGAATGCAAAAAGTTCAAGGTGATTTTCACCTAGATGTGCTTTGCCTTGAGTCTCCAGTGACTTTGCGTGAGTGACCTGAGCTCTGGCCTCTTCCTCACTCTTGAAACAAGCAGCCACTTTGATGGCAGGAACCCATTTTGCAGGGGTGTAGTAGTCGTTTTTAATTTTGTGACAAAGACAGCTGCATCCTCTGGGAGTAGTAAATGGTTTTACTGGTGATATTAATGGAGCCATGACCTCTCCCACAGCTATGGTCCTACAAAACAAAATGTTTGTATTTTGTCAGGCAAGTTCATTCGCAGCCCTTCCTTGAAGCAAGTTGCAAAGGAAAAGTACTCTAATAAGCCTAGAGAGTAGAGTGGTGGCTGTGTGTGTGTGTGCCTGCGTGCGTGCATGTGTGTGTGTGTACAGGCATGAGGTCATTTGCAGACATTGTGGATTTATAGTGCTGCTATTGACTGACATGCATACAATCGTTTTTAGTTGTGTTTAGATGAAACAACGTATTTTAAAGATGTGTTTGGACAGATACAAGAAGTCCTAGCCTTAGAGTTGTGGTGGGTCTACTGCTGACGCTGAAGTGGGCCCTTGGGAAGCAATAGCGGGGTGAAATTTAAGTGTTTTGGGGGAATTCACAGAAGCAAAGTGACAAAGGAACTCAGAGGCAAAGATGATTCCATTAAACTGGCAGTTCAGTAGCTGAGAATCGACGACACGTGTGTTTACCATTTCCTCTAGGAACTTTTGATGTCGTGTCCTTTGTTGGAAAGAGCTGTCTGAGAAGACAGTACATCGATATGGAGGATTTGCAGTTCAGTTAAATGAATTAAGCTGTTTCCTGGTGTTTCTATACACCTTTGGGATGTACAATATACATGCATGTGTGTGTATGAATGTATGTTTATACACACATGTACACAAAATTATGTATATATGTGTACATATATGTATGTGTATATATACATGTGTGTATGTATGTGTGTATAGATCGATAGATCGATAGATCGATAGATCGATAGATCGATAGATCGATAGATAGATAGATAGATAGATAGATAGATAGAGACTTGCAGGAGGAGGAAGGCAGCAGCATGATGCAGTCCCTTGATCCAGCTGGGTGTCTTTCTCAACAACCTCATCTAGTAGAGGATTTGGTTCTGAAATAAACCCCTTGTCTCCACGTCATTCTTTTCTTTCTTTGCTGGCGTTCTGCACTCACTGAGAATTCCTAACCAACAGTTCTGTTAATGGTGACAGTCAAAACGAAAGCCAATTAACAACAAATGTATTTTTGTCCTCAAGGGCAAATGGGTAGTGCTTTCTAATTTCAGTTTTAACTTTAATGGTTATCATTAAATGACATGTGGCCATGCTAGGAAACCCAACAGAGAAAAGGAGCCAGGTAAACAATAGAGGCAGAGACAAGAGGTCAGATGTATGTTCAAGGCCAGACTGGTTTACAGAGTGAGTTTCAGGGCAACCAGAGCTACATTGTAAGACCTTGTCTCGAAAAAAGAAAGAAAAAGAAAAGAAAAAGGAGAGGAAGCGAGAGAGGAGAAAATAACTCATAACACTAACATCCAAAGAAAACCAATTTCTCTCCACCCCACCCCCCCCCTCCCACTTTCTACACCCTTTCCCCCAATTCCTCCTCCTCCTCTTTTTTTTTTTTTTTTTTTTTTTTTTAAAAAAAAAGCAAGGTACCAGCTAAGTAGCTGAGGCTGGTCATTTGTCCTGCTTTCTTGACTAACTTGCTGCGATTATAGGTGTGGACCACAAAGCCTGGTGCCAGTTTGTTTTCTGTTTTCTCTGCCACTACAAGTCTGACATCAAGGTGTTTCCAGGGCCAGCCCTCTGCTGGACCTGTTGTTGGGAACCTGGTCCTCTCCTACTACTTCCTTATTCTGGTTTCCCAGCATTCTTTGACTTACAGATGTCACGTCAGCTTTTGTTCCGACCGGCCTCTTTTAAGACTCTTATTATAGGCTAAGGGAGCTCTCTCCTTAGCTTGAGTAATTGCATTCATTCAACTGTCTTTCCACGTAGGCCCCATTCCGAAGTGCAAAGGGCTCAGAACCTCTCCAGTCTCCCTCACATCAGCCACTGTGGATGTTTGACAGCCGTTGCCTGCTGAGAGCTCTTGTTTCTCTAATATTCACCCTGTGTCAGCATCCATTTCTGAGGGAGGACCAGCCAGCAGGTCTGGCTCTTCCTTGGTTCTTTTACATAGGACTCCCGGTCCCTACAGGCTGGAACCAAGTTGGGGAGATGAGAACACAAACACTCGTGAATGAATCATTGTTTGGGAGTATCAATGGGTTCCTGATGACAAGAGCAGGGTAGACAGTGAGAATGTTTCTAGAAATAACAGATGTTCTGGTTCCTTGAAGGAATTACAGGGAACTCGAACAGGTAGTTATAACAATCCTCCTGGCCTCTGAGAGACAATGCAACACTTTCGAAAGATGGGTTTTCCCCTCTGGTCCGCTCAGCCTTTGTTCTTAGCAGAGAAACCTTGCTGTTGAAGAAATCTAAGAGGACCTAACCACTGACGAAATGCATGCATTTCCCAGCTCCCTTCCTCATTCATTCCTACTCTACCCGGCAAGGTCTAGAAAGTCTTCAAGTGGTGCTTCTGCCATTCAAATGATAATCCCCTCTGGTTTGCTTATTTCTGTCTCCCAACTCTCCCAAGCACCTGTGTTTTTCCAGTGGTCACAGAGGCCCTGGAGGGGACTTCTGGGGGTCTTAGCACAGCTGAAGTTTAAGCAGCATCTCCCCCTCCTCCCTCATTGCATTTCTGAAGCGTTTGCACTGGGTGGTCCCTGGGACACTGAAGAACTGGGCTTCTTTGGGAGACAGACTCACAGAAGGTCAGATTCCGAGGCAACAAACAAACTGCTGTGGGTGAGGGGCTGCCGCAGAGTCCCAGGGACATTGTCAGTTCCTTACTGGTGTTTCTCCCCCGCTCAGATGCAGAGAGTCCTTTCATAGAGATGCACAGTGACATCCCTAAACTTGTGTACATGAGGGAAGGACAAGAACTTATCATCCCCTGCCGAGTGACGTCACCCAACATCACAGTCACCCTGAAAAAGGTAAAACTTCAATGCTGCTCCCGTCATGGCTTGGCTTCCAATGGGTGTGGATTCACACATAAGGAAGACGGTTTACAATCAAGCCCAGTGAAGAGAGAACAAAAATGTCAGGTTCAGCTGAATAGTCTCAAGACTGCTGGTGCTTAAAGGCTTTCCCAAGCCGGGTGGTGGTGGCTGGCGTCTTTAATCCCAGCACTCGGGAGGCAGAGACAGGCGGATCTCTGTGAGTTCAATGCCAGCGTGGTCTACAAGAGCTATTCGAGAATAGCCAGGGCTGTTATACAGAGAAACCCTGTCCCCCTAAAAATAAATAAATAAAAACACAAAACAGTAACAACAACAACAACAAAAAGCTTTCCCAAAGAAAAATTTAGAGGGTCAGGACCAACCAGCCCCCAACCCCACCCAAGGCAGCACCTAGCTAGTCTAGGCAGACTTTGGGCAGTGGCTGTAGTTAGGAAGTCAGAAAAATTGTGACTGTGATTGACAGATTTCTGGTGGCCTTCATGGATAGGTTTGAATCCCCATCTCACCCGTGTCCTGTTGCCAGTAGGTATTCGGGCTGAAATCAGTAGGGGAGTCCTACGCAATGCTCAAGAAAATACCTAGGTTAGAGTGCAGGGGACTTCTGAGCCGGACCCTGTTGTTAGCCTTCCCAGCTTGAGTCCCTGCACCCTCCTTGAATGGCTCAGTGCAGTGCGGTAGTTCTTGCTGTATCTGAAAGCCATGGTTTCTCATAGTGTTTTGGCTCATTGCTACCAGGACTCTGGTCAAGCATGCTTCTTTCTCTGCAGTTTCCAGCTGATACTCTGATCCCTGATGGAGAAAGGATCACATGGGACAGTACGAAAGGCTTTATAATAGCAAATGCGACATACAGAGAAATAGGACTTCTGAACTGCGAAGCCACAGTCAACGGGCGCCTCTACCAGACAAACTATTTGACCCATCGGCAAAGTAAGTGCCGTCCCCAAGGGTGTGGACACCAGGCACAGTCCTTTGAGCTCCACCTGGCCTCTGAAATCTTGATTTTTAACTTTTTTTTTTCTCTTCTGCTTGCAGCCAATACAATCCTAGATGTCCGCATAAGCCCTCCAAGCCCGGTGAGACTGCTCCGTGGCCAGACTCTTGTCCTCAACTGTACCACAACCACCGACCTGAACACGAGGGTGCAGATGAGCTGGAATTACCCTGGCAGAGTGAGTGGCTCTTTCCTAGTCCTTCTTCAGGGCGCTCTTTGAGTCTGCTTTGAGCGAGCGAAACCCCACTGGGTGTTTGAAGTGGGAAAAATGAGAAAATGCTGCTCCCAGGGCGGTGTGGGTGGACAGGAAAGCGGCAGGTTCGAGCGGGTGCCTCCCTCGCCTGGCGGTCCCTGGGTGTGATAGTGCAGATTCTGGCTTTGATGTCTGGGGCTTGTTTTGAAGGGTAAGGGCTGCTTTTTCCACTGGCGAGTCTGGGAAGCAAGAGGGAACGGCGCATTAGGCTTTCTGGATGAGAGGGGAATTTATCACTGAATGCCAGGCAGGGCCTATCTTTTGTCTTAACAACATTTCAGGAGATTGTCTTTGTCAGTGCAGTCATGGAAGGTTCTGGCAGACAGTCAGGCACCTGATTGTGGTGTGTTTGGTAAAGTTACTTCAAGCCAGCCACCCAATACTGCACATTAACCATCAAAGGGGCAGTTCTGTCCTTCAGAAACACAAATGGGAGGAGTGAAGACAGAGTCGGTTTCCTCATTCAGGTGCAGCTTCCTTACCAGCCCCAGGTATTTACTGAAGTGCGCAGATGGGAAGGTGATGATAAGCTGGTAGAGAAGCCTGGCAGCAGACCTGCTCTCCTTTCTCACGTGCCAGTGAGATTTCTGCAGCAGATCCCAAGGGCGGGCGTTTGCTATGCCATGCAGACTGCCAATCAAAATTAATTTAGGATTAAATAATGAACGAAAGATTAATGCTTCAGCTTCAACTTGGTTTCACCAGCTTTCCCCGCCCCCGTGGAAGTAGAAAAACTTTGCAACAAAAGATAGATTATGTTCCCTATAGGAGCCGATCAGATATTGACAATTTTCTAGACAATACTGTTGTTCCTTTTAAATAAAACTGCTAGAACATGAAGCAACATCTTCTAATAGAAAAAAAATTCTCAGTTAATGTCAAGACTGAAGAGACTTTTATCCAGGTCCAATTGCTGTTAAGATGTCGATCCTGGAGGCTGGAGAGATGGCTCAGAGGATATGAACACTGACTGCTCTTACAGAGACCCAGGTTTAATTTCCAGCACCCACACGGCAACTCACAACCACCACTAACTCCATACCCAGAGGATCCAAAGCCCTCTTCTGGCTTCCTCAGACTCTCAGGCATACACATGGTGTATAGCCATATATGCAGACCAAACACCCCTACCACACGAGAAAACAAATAACAAAAGTTCAAAGAGGGTATTGTCTGTGTCTACTAGGTACCAATGACCTCCTAAAACAGAGCTTGTCCAATAGGATGTTCCCTGATAGAAATATTCTCTGTCGCCCTTGTATAATCAAGTATCCGTTAGCCACTGTGGTAGAAGAACACGTCAAGTGTGACTAGATGCAGTGAGGAATTCTTCATCTGGATTAACTGTATTAAATAGTCCCATGCAGCTAGCGGCTACAGAGCTGGACAAGGCACTTCCAGAGGCTTGGATTAGGTATTTCCCAAGGGATCAGCCATGCCAATAACACACTTGGGAAGAAAACTCTTCAGAGGGGGAAGTCACGCCTCTAGATGGTAGTGGCCGAAAGGCTCCAGGGTCTGTTACACTGGGGACTGCTTCTGACTTTTCACAGCCGTGATTGACAGCTGTGTCTTTTGTTATTGCTGAGAACCATGCAAATGGCCTAAACACATGTCGGTGCCAACGGGGAATGAAAAGGCAGGTGGGTGAAAGTTGACTAAGCATGGTCGAGGGAACTAGGTTCAAGACCCTCAGCTCTGTCTGGACAACTTCCAAGTCTTTTTCCCACGACCCTCCCCAGGGAAGGACTTGAGAGGGGGAAATGACGTGCTATGTGTTATAAGAGGAACAATTGAAGGAGATGGCATTGCATCTTCTCCGACCAGTGAGCAGGCCACTGTAGCCAGACAGACAGCTGAATGTGGTCTTTCCCTGAGATAAGGGACAGACCCTGCAGATGATGGCTGAAGTCACCTCTGGGTGTGCACATCCCACGTCCCTTTTGCCATAATTTAGCAGGCGCTGATGGGTACAGCTCAAGATGTAAAATAATGAACTGGGAGCAGTTGAAGCCAGGACTTGAAGTTTTGTTCCCATCAGTGGGAAAGGGAACTTTGTTTATTTACAGGAATCTGAGGGGACAGGCTGCTGTTCAGAGGAGAGCCTGTGATGAGGAGAAATCACTAAATGCATACCCAAAAGCCCTGAGTTCCTGGTATTCTGTGGTAACAAAGCAAAACCCCTCCAACCTCAGCAGGTGGTTACACAAAGCAACCAACACAATATCTACCGCGAAGCTCATTTACAGAGAAGATGGGCTCAGTAAAAGCCGGCAGGCTTCGTGTCTGATGCACGTCTAGACAGAGGCGTAGTCACCTAATGTTTTGCTTGTGGCGGATCTGATGTGCCCCCAACCTACATACTGATCCGACAAATGCTAAGACACACAGTGGTGACTTCACCCGCTATGCTTTCTCCTTCTAGGCAACTAAGAGAGCTTCCATAAGGCAACGGATTGACCAAAGCAATCCCCACAACAATGTGTTCCACAGTGTTCTTAAGATCACCAACGTGCAGAGCCAAGACAAGGGACTTTACACTTGCCGCGTGAAGAGTGGATCGTCGTTTAGATCTTTCAACAGCTCCGTGCATGTGTACGGTAAGCACAGAGGTCAGACGTGCCGACTTCCACGACCCTTTCTGAGTACTCTAAGCATTGGGGGAGGGCGAAGCCACTGTTCTTTTTGGCTAAGAGATATGCAACCATGAATGAAGCCTGCGTTCTCTTGCGCCCTCAAAGGGAAATTAAGCACATTGCATACTCTTTAAATTGGATACTTTTGGGGAGACGGGCTGAAAAGTTGTAAGAGTCTGAGGCAGAGGAGGACCAGAGCAAATCAATGTCTTCTGGATGTGACAAGACCACAGCACTCTGTGGTCGCCTGCACAGGGTCTACACAAGGCCAAGCCAGTCCACAATCCCACGCAGACAGGGAAGGGACTCATAAGCTTCTACCCCTAACAAGGAGCTATGGACAGCTGATGACTTCTGGGGGAGAGAGAGTCAGTGTTCTTTAAGGGTGTGGCCCCTCATTGGTCAATTGCACCCCAGTGGATGGCCCCACACCCAGAAATCTATAGCCAGCACAAGCTGGAATGGATGGGTTTTTTTTTTT